TTTGTTTCCCACTGTGGCACAGCAACTGAAGTCATACAAATAAAAGCTATAAACCATTAGACTCCACCAATGACCAAAGAAAACATGCTGTGACCGTGTTCAGTTATACCCCCAACAGCTTCATTACAAGAACTGTTTGTGTAAGCAGCTCAAACTGCACCGATGCGAGACCCCGATGACTCATATCAGCTCATAATTAAGCATCATCATGGGGATTAAAACGTATCTGGAATATCACAAAGTAACACAGTAGCACTCTGGTCTCCTTGTTTAGACTGAGTAAATTCTGTGATGTTCAATAGCTTCGGTTACAGGTCAGCTCAGCGCTGACAGTCAAGGCCAGCGATCGTCTCATAGCCTCGGTCTGTGGCCTTTTAGAGGGCGTCTTCTGATGCTTAGCAGAGAAAGTGTTGTCAGCATCACTCAGGTTTCATGTTACAATCCATTTTTTGGTTTTGAATCGTACGGTTTGGCTGGGACATGTACGGTGTACCCACTGACTTGTTCATCTCTATGTGATGCTAACAATAAAACCTCTCTCTATGTGTGGTTTCACAGAGGAAGATTTTTCTGTCCTCCAGCAGGAGATTGTCATAGTAAAGAGCTGCAAACATCCCAACATTGTGGCATATTATGGCAGCTACATACGGTGAGCTGTCTGTTGCTGTTTCCTCTCTGTCCCATTACATATATATATACAGTATATCATCGATACAGCAGGCAACTCAGAGATTTCCTCTTCTATCTGCAGAGCTAATAAACTGTGGATCTGTATGGAGTTCTGTGGAGGAGGCTCCTTGCAGGATATTTACCATGGTGAGTGTGTGTGTGTCTGGGGCTGAAATTCAAAGAGCCTACAATGAGGAAACTGACTTTATGACTTTAAAGGTGCATTAACTCAGATTTTCCACACGCTCTGATAAACCCAGAGACAATGGGCCAGGACGTGGTGTCTCACTAGGTGCCCCGCCTGCCACCTAGCAGCCGGGGCATAGATGCAGATGCTATCGTGTTTAAACTGTTTCTCTGAGTCTCTCCACTGTAAAGATGGCCAGTAGAATATTTTCACATCCAAACACAAAGCGAACTCTTCATCGTCTCCACTGATTTATGATTACTAGATTATTATAACAAGTAAATTGTGTTCTACAGTGACCGGTCCCCTGATTGAGCCACAGATAGCGTACATCTGCAGAGAGATGCTACAGGTAGTTACATAATCTGTATTTATTATTAACAATCTGTGCGGTTGATAATGGCAGTCAGTGCCGTGATGCCTGCTCTGTGTGTGTCTGTGTGACCAGGGCCTGGACTACCTGCATGCACAGAAGAAAATCCACAGAGACATCAAGGTGAGCATGTCACAGAGTGATGGGACTGTTGTTCTACATGTTGGTTTACGTGTATCTTGCAGTTTTTTATCATATAGAATGTTACACTCCAGTAGACTGAACTTTTAGATTGCTGTTGGAAAAAGTGGGTCACTGCAGCCGCACAGGACGTAAACAGGAACAGAGGACACACTGTGGTAAAGGGGAAGGGTCTGAGCCGGTTGTTGTCCTGAGGATTAGCAGTAAAATAACCTGACAGGCGATATTTTGCTCATTTCATGAAAAATATCTGAAGAAATTCCAGTTGTCAGACTTTTCATCATAACCTTTGATATGAGACATCTTTACACTGAAATCCAGGATTTAAAAAAATAGCACAACTAAAGCTTCCTGGAGCTAATGCAACAGGAACTTAGCAAATATAAATGAAAAACAGTCACAATCGATGGTTAAGTAAAGTCAATGAAATGACATTTAATTAGACTGTATTTCCCTTCTGTGTGGGTTCAGTTAAAGATCACTGAGTGGGTAAAGGAGAGTCGTGATATATTAAGATGTTTCTGTGCTTACATGTGTTTTGATGTTTATCTCACCCTCCTCCTTTCAGGGTGCCAACATCCTCCTCAACGATCACGGCGAGGTGAAGCTGGGTAGGTGGATGCTTGCACTGTAAGACGACTCATTTGCAGCAGGACACGTGTCTGCTGTCTCATTAAAACGTGGTTGATTTGTTTGTCAGTGGACCAGTCGGCCTCTGGGACGTTTCCCACGTTTCCTTTTTAATGCAACTTTTTGATGTTCAAGTTTCTGTCCTTGGCCTGCTTTTACTCTCTGGGTGTGGATACAGATCATACTCACAGCTACGTCCACTCTCAGCATATTGGAGTCAACACCCACCCTGTATTTTTGCAGGCTGTCCCAGATGTCAGCGCCACCCTCAGTCCCTCCACAGAAAGCCAATGGGACTTTTCCATAGGCTTTTGGATTTTTGCAAAAAATAACTTCTGTGACAACTTGTTCAGCAAGATAATCGTCACAAGTAATTGATTTTGGAAAGTTATGTTTTATGATTTTTGAAACCCCGATTCAGTTGCTAGATGTAAAAAGCTACTGTTAGGCTATAAACAAACTCCACCACAGCTTCCAACTTGTAATTTGATTTAGCCCTTGCTCTCGTCGTGACCCGATAGCCAGTGATCACGGCTGTGTCAGTTAGTTAGTATAGTTAAAAATCACCAGTGGGGCCTTGTGTTAATCAGGCGACTAACGGAAAACCCATAAAACAACCACTGAAATGAAAATGAATGATTTTGTAATGTGAGAAAGAAAGCAGACACTGTTGTGACAGTTATAAATACTGTATCTTGGTCAACAGATTGAAAAGAAACTTAGACTGATGTTTCATTGGTTGTTGCTACCTTCTTCCAAATCCTCGACTTCGGTGACTTGTTTTACATGAATGCAGCAGCACAGCGTCTTCACAGGTTGGAGTTTTCGCAGTGTGTTATTACCCATCACTGTGGTCAGTTCTCCAGAGCCAGTCATGTTTCTCTGTGCACCACATATTTTTATTTATAAAGCTCTTTTAGATCAGCTGCCCTCACACCAAAGTTATTTGAGGGAGCTGATCTTCCTGTCACAACATGACATCACCAGATCCTTATCTGCTGCCAGTGCTGAGCGCTCGGTCAGAGACAGGAGAGAAAGATGTTGTGTTTTCTGCTCCAGCTACTTGGCCTGGGCAGCAGAGGGAAACTAAGTGAATGACCTTGCTATTTTTTTGTGTCCTCGTTTGTGTAGCTGACTTTGGGATCTCGGCCCAGATCACTGACACCCTGGCCCGGCGCAAGTCCTTCATCGGGACGCCATATTGGTAAGGTCAAAACCCAGAGATCGTTGGCTCTGTGTCTGTGAACCTGAAGCTGAATGTGTATGGACAAAACAACTACAGGAGGCTGCTGGGAGCACATACAGCAGATTCACAAACAAACGATACACATATGCTATGTTAGCTGGATGATCGCA